TATAGAGGATCCTCGCTTGAATTTACGAATGCACAAATCGGTTTATATATTCTCGAGTTTATATATGTATATGCACACACACACACACACATATATATATATATATATATATTTATTCATTTATTTTTATTTTTTTTTGGCGCCCCCCTCCCCCCCAGTCCCTCCCCAGTCCAGGGACCTCAGAGCGCAGCGTTTCTGAGCCAGGCCTCTGGACCAAGCCAGCGAGTCTCGGTACTTATATAAACGTGTAAAGCCTTCGGGCCTCAGGCCAAGGAACAAGATCATGAATACACCGGGACTCAGGACCGAGGAGCAACCTCAAACAGTTCTTCATCTCCATCATCCATCCTTATGAGAATTATATGTGTGTATTTACATCACACTTGTGTGTGTATGTGTATGTGTATATATATATATACATATATATACATACAAGCCTTCCACCGAGACCGACTCCTTGGGTGAGATTCTGGCCTTGGCTTCGGCAGCCGCGTGAGGGCCCGAGGGATTCCGGGCTCCCCAAGCCCTGAACACAGAATGTACAAAGTAAGTTATCTACTGTCATTTATTTATGCACACATATATATATATATTCATATATTATGTACGTATGTGTAGGTGTAACTCTATCTGTATATATGTTTGTCTAATTCAGTATATACAAATATACATATACAGAATATCATTAGGAGATAGCTCCTAGGCGGGCGTCATTTGCCGTCAGGGCTGTGGATTTTGGTACTTGAGGTTGCATTGAGGATTCGGCCCTAATCCCTAAACCCTGAACCCTAAACCCTAAACCCTAATCATTACCCTAAACCCTAAACCCTGAACCCTAAACCCTAAACCCTTATCATTCGGGCACAGGATTGTATACTGCTTTTGGGCTCGGAGTTTCGGGTGGGTGGCGAGCTGCGGCCTGAGTCGGCAAGGGTTCACAGCAAGTTTTAGGGTTTAGGGCTTTGCGGTTTGGGCTTAGGGTTTAGGGTTTAGGGTTTAGGGTTTAGGGTTTTGCGGTTAGGCTTAGGGTTTAGGGTATTCAGAGGGACAGCAAGGTTTAGAGTTTAGGGTTTAGGCTTCACAGTTTTGTTTAGGATTTAGGGTATTCGAAGGGAGTACTTGTTATGAGAATGTAACGGCACTGATCATGTTTACAAGCCTTTTGTTCATACAGGGTTAGTTTGAAGCCCTTCCATGATGTAGTCCCCGCACTGGCAACCTACTTATTCGCCCAGCTTCGAACGACATGATCTGCAATGCTCTTATCTACAACCTTCTTTACAACTAAGTATCCCCGATCCCACCAGTAGTCTCGAACATCCAAATCATCCAAAGTCCAACGTTTATTACAAATCAAAGCCCGGTGAATCTCCATCAAGACGCTTTAAACTTATTGAAAGCCTTGTAAAAGCCAGTACACCCCGAAAGGTTCGGCTTTTGTTCGGTGGCGCTCGAAACGATGAGCTCGCGACACTTCGACCCGGGCCTATTCCTAGGCTCGGGACTATTAGGTTGTTTCGTCGGCAATGTGTGGTTGAGGTTGCTTCAACCCTGAACCTAAACCCTTGTCCATATTTGTTGGCAGGCCGTATTTGGACTTGAAGGTTGCACTTGCGTTTTTTAGCATCTCGGCAGAGACTCAGGGTAGAGGGTTTCAAGTTCTTTAACTACGTTTTGGAGCTTATGTGAAATAGCGCTAGACGACCTGGTAAGTGGTTGTAGTTGGAATTAAAGGTACCGTCGTCATGGGGCCTTTAGTAAGGTGTAGAGCTTGGGTTTGCTTTGAGAGTTGTAGGGTTTATTAGGATGTTCCGTGGTATCTGGTTATTACTATTGTTTTCTGGGTTCCTATCCTGAACCTTAAGCCTTAAACCCCAAAGCCTATTTTACAGACTTTTGCACGATGGATTATCGAAGAGCCGCCTGTTTCTAGACCTTGGCTTTCGGGTTTCAAGGCTTCAGGGTTTACGGTGCAAAGTTTGGGGCTTTTTGATTTTAGGGTGGGAGTTGGTGTTGGGGTTGTCGGCTTCATTGCCGGATTCTTTGGGGCTCCATTTTCGAAGGGCTCCCTGTATCCACCTGGGTAGTTCTCTGAAATAGGGTCCCTTTTAAGATCCCCAAAATACGGCACCCTTATAAAAAGGGCCCTGCAAGGGACCCTGATGTAGAGAACTACCCATATCGTATAGATCACTTGCGCCTAAAGGGGCATCTGAAGAACGGTTTAGGGTTTAGGGGGCATCTGAACCTTGTAAGCAGAAAGTTTGGGATTGGAGTTCTTACACGGCCAAGCGGGACAAAGCCCGGCAACCTAAATCCCTATAAGTAAAGTAGGGCTATAAATGAAGTTATAAGTGCCCTAAGTGGAGTCATCCTATTGTGATAACCTTACTTAAAAACCTTACTAAGTCCCTTAAGGGCTCTTACTTATTAGGGTTTAGGGTTTAGGGTTTACTAAGTCCCTTGAGGACTCTTACTTAAAGCCTTCCTCAGTCCCTTAAGGACCCTCATTTAAAGCCTTCCACCCTAAACCCTAAACCCTAAGTCCCTTAAGGACCCTGTAGTTACACCTTCACAGGCCTCAACGGCCTCGTCGCCGCGGCGTTGTCGCCTGCAGCGCTGTTGCCTCGGCCTGGTTGGGCTGGGTTTAGGGTTTAGGGTTTAGGGTTTAGGGTTTAGGGTTTAGGGTTTAGGGTTCAGGGTTTAGGGTCTAGGGTTTAGGGTTTAGAGTTTAGAGTTTTGTTTTGAGGGTCCATAATATAGGGGCCTTGATAATGAGAATTGGGTTTTGGGGTATATTATGCTTTAATTATAACAAGGACCCCCCCCCCCAAACAAAAAAACAATTAATAATAATTAAATAAAAATAAATAATAGGCTCTTTTTTAGGCTCCCACATTATGGGGGTTTCAGAATACGAGGGAAGCTAGATGTTTAGATCCCCGAGTCCTAACTCGCAGCTCCCATGACCGTAAACCCCAAGCCTTAAACCCTAGGCCCGAAACCCTAAACCCTAAACCCTTAAACCCTAAACCCTAAATCCTTAAACCCGAAACCCGAAACCCTGCAACCCTCGTGCCCTAAGTCCGAACCCCCGAAATCCTAGCCCCGAAACTTTAAACCTTGGTTTAGGGTTTAGGGTTTAGGGGTTTAGGGTTTAGGGTTTGATAGTCATTTGTACCCTTCCCGGTGGAGACCAATGCCTCCAGCTCCGCCCGCCACTCACGGAGCCGCTACAACTATCAGTAGATTTAGATGGCAACCAAAAACCCTAAACCCTAATCCCAAAAACCCGAAGCCCTAAACCTTTAGCCCTCGCCCAAAGCCTAAACCCTCACTGCAGAACCCGCTGTAGAACTGTCCGAGGAAATCGTATTAGGAAGCTGCAGAACCCTTCAATCCCAAACCCCCAGAGTCCTGAACCA